GTTATAGTGATTCAAACTCGAAGTTCGAAAACGGGCAGAAATTTTGAAACAACCCAATACAAAGGTGAGTCTTACCTCCTTTCTATCGTAATCGACTTTGTTCGTTGTGTTTCCCATGAACTCACCGCCACCGTAGGACGCTTCGGTAGGACGAATCGCTGACTGTCGTTGAACCTGCGAGGGAACTCAGATTTCAAAGGGAAGGGATAGAGGTTAGACAATTCGGAAGTTCAGGGTTAGAAGCTAACCTCCTTCCTATCATAATCCACTTTATTCGTCGTGTCTCCCATGAACTCACCGCCACCGTAGGTCGCTTCTGCGGGACGAATCGCTGATTGTCGTTGGACCTGTAATGATTTTTAACTTTGAAGAGGTTAGAGAATCAACTGGACACTTACCTCTTTTCTATCGTAATCCACTTTGTTTGTCGTGTTTCCGGTAAACTCACCGCCTCCATAAGAAGCTTCAGCAGGACGAAATGCTGTTTGTCGTTGAGCCTGAAGCAAGTAGTAGTAGAATAGTGAAAGGGAATAAGACGAAATTGCGACTCATTCTTCGTACCTGTTTTCTGTCGAAATCTGATTTGTTTGTGGTTACCCCGGTAAACTCGCCTCCTCCAACAGTTGACTGAACAGGGCGAAAAGCTTTTTGCTTCTCCACCTAGGAAATGAAAATGTATAGCGTCTCATAAAAAGGTCATTACGGAGTCTTGCATCAATATAAAACATGAGATCAAGAATTTTTGTACTATGACTCACCTAGAGTCTATATTGGGTATGTGCATGCGCACTTTATGCATGAGCTATATTCTTCAAATAGATAATCAAAGCTTTGACTTCAAAATAAAGTCAAGAAATTTTTGAGGGCTATACAAATGGGAAAGATGGATGTGATCGGTTTCATTTCAATTCTTATTCTAAAATACTACTTATATATATTTGGTATAGCCACTTTTTGTATCTTCGCTGAAAAAGGATAGATGGAATCAAAGAATGAGAATCAGATTTGGTAGATATAATGTATGGAGCGGAGAGTGTATTGATAAGCCATTTATTCGGTAGACACGGATTGCCCCTACTG